CACCATTTAACAGATACCTGGTACGGATATTTGTCTCCTATCCCCTGAAAGGCCCTGAACTGGATATTTGTCTCCTATCTTTTGAAAGGCTCTGAAACAGGCCTGTGAGGAGTTTGGTGCTGTTGCTCCGATGCAGTCGATGACAGAGGTGTTGTCCATACAGACCGTGATTGGTTCGTTGGTGAAGTTGGCGAGTACAGCGCATTGGAGGCCTTCGAGAGCGCCGTGAATTTCTGCGTCAAAGACTTCTCTGCGGCCAAGCTGGCCAAAGCCCCAATCAGCGAGGCGTCCGTTGTGGAATACTGCGTATCCATACCCTGCGGTATCTCTTTCTGTCTTGGAGCCATCACTGAAGACGACATAGCCTGGGGGTTTGTCCTCAAGCCAGCGCTGGAATTCTACAGCGGCGGTTTCTTTAGGTGGTCTTTCGCCCCCAGCTTCGGTCGGGATGTTATCATTGAAGCGGCGTGCTATAAGCCTTGGTCGTTCGACCTCCTTCGCCCATGGCGCTGTTCGGAGGAGTCGGCTATCCCTCTGCAGGGTTTGGCTGCGTGTTGTTGGGTGGTTGCTCTGGTCAAGTTCATGCTGCGCTTGTCTTAGCCTTCTGGATACCGGGTGCGCAACATCTAGTGTGGCATAACGGAGCGCAGTGCGCGCTTGTTGTTGCTTGAGTATGATGTCTGCTGGCGGTATACCCGCCTCCTTCCAGAGGACGACTTGTGGGGTGGTCTTCCAAACGGGTAGGACTGCGTGGCAGGCCTTGTTTAGGATTACTTGAAGCTTTGAGAGATGGGTTTTGGTAATCGTCCTTGCACCTTTATGTGCATGGGTTTTGGTAATCGTCCTTGCGCCCTTATGTGTTGACTCGGAAAGGAAGCCGGGGAACCATGTGTCTAGCCCATAGAAGAGTGTAGGTAAGGCTACGGCATAAATCGCTCTCCTAGCTGCTACTGCTGATGTTCCGCGGACTGTGTTGTTAACGAACCGCAACTGTGAAATAACCTTTTCGGCCTTGAGTGACCATTTCTCGATGTGCGTGTTGAAAGTGAGCCTGCGGTCGAGCCAGACTCCTAGCCAACGCATTGCCTTCTGTGCCTTAATCTCCTTGCCTTGGTGGGAGACCGGTGGCGAGCTACTGTTCCTTTTCCTAGAGAAGTGCATGACCTCCGTCTTGTCTGGGTCGAAGGAGAAAGCCTCTTGCTGCCCCCATGTTTCCATTGCGGTGATCGCCGTGTTTGCTTTTGCAGTGGTCTCCTCCAGGGTGTCCCCTACAAAGAGCATCGCTGTATCGTCCGCGTAGCCGTATCTTTCTGTTGCTCCTGGAAGAGAGTAAATGGGGGTGGTGGCTAGTAGATAGAGAATCGGCGATATAGGCGAGCCCTGAGGAAGGCCGCAGGGCAGTTCTGCGGGTTCTGTTTTAGCATCCTGGAATCTGACTAGAGCTTTACGGTGGGAGACGAAGTGGTAGATCCACCAAATCAGGAAAACCGGCCATCCTTGTCGTCGGAGTCGTAGGATCAGCCTATTGGGGAGGATAGCATCGAAGGCCCCTTTGACATCCATTGTGACAAGTGTGGCCATCTTGCCGTTACCTAAGGCACGTTCAACATCGTAGAGGAGTGCGGTGACGATGTCTGTAGCGCTTCTTTTGGGGAGTGCTCCAGCCTGGTTAGGGTGGAGGACCTTGTATCTGATGGCTAGGAATGCAAGGCGGCGGCCAATTACTCGTTCCAGGCCTTTGGACAGGCAGGAAAGGAGGGAGGCGGCGGCCAATTACTCGTTCCAGCCTTTGGACAGCCAGGAAAGGAGGGATATGGGGCGCCACGCAGAGATGTCACTGAGATCTCTCTTATTGAGTTTTGGGATCATCGCTACCTCTGCTGTCTTGAAGGGAGTTGGGTGATATCCTAGGGTGAGGCAAGCGTTGTAGAGGAGTGTGGTGACATGTGAAATGCTTGGCCAGATTGCTTGGAGCATTTTCGTTGTAATACCGTCCATTCCAGGAGTGGTGTTCCCAGTTCTGAGTAGTGCATCCTGGGCTTCGCTGATTGGGATGTGTGCCGAAAAGGGGATTTGTTGGGTTGGTGAAGCTGTGGGGATCCATGGGTCTGGGATATCATCTGACACGTCCCGTCTTTCGAGCTTCTCCTTGCGTAGGATGTTGGCGCGCTCTAAGTTCGTTGTACCGTCTTTCGAGCTTCTCCTTGCGAAGGATGTTGGCACGCTCTAAGTTCGTTGTGTAGACTTTGTTTTCATGTTGGATTGGTGGAGGTTGTAGCTGTTGCCTTGGCTTTATCCAGCGAGTAACCCGGAATATATCAGCTTGGTCTGTGATATCTGCAACAATAGTGCGCCAGAAGTTTCGTTTCGCGCGGCGGACGGTGCGCTTAAGGTGGATCCTAGCGCGTTGGACTTCCTCTCCATGTCGGCTTTCGGTAGTATATCGAGCAGCGCGGAGACTCTCATGCGCTTCGTTACACTCTTTGCTCCACCAAGGATTCTGTCGGGCTCTCTTTCCTTTACTCAGTCGGCCGCAAGCTTTTGCAGCGTCTTGCAGGATTTGTAGAAGTTGTCCAGCAGCATCATCAATATCTTGTCTGGAGCGGATGAACGATGGTAGTGACGGGGCCGCGCTGGCCACGTGTTTGCTAAACGCCTTGATTTCCTCCGGTAGGCTGACATGGACTTTTCCTGGGGTCCTGGGGCTGCTCTCATTGTCTGGGATCTCTGTACCGATTGTGTAATGCAGCGAGCCGGTGGTGAGGTACTCTTCTACGGTTGCGGTGGCTGTTGGGATGTTGGAGAATACCAGGTCGATTGTACTAGATCTTTTGTTTAACTTTGGCATTGTGGTTGAGGTTTCTGGGTCATTAAGAAGGACTAGGTCGTGTTCTTGCGTCCAGTTGAAGATCCTTCTGCCATCCTGCGATGCCCTCCGATCTGCCTGCCACGATGGGTGGAAGGCGTTCATGTCCCCTGCAACCACGCATCGGTTTGGGGGAGTCCATGACTCAATAATGTCCAGTGAGGTTTCTTCCTCTGGTCTGTTGTAAATGTTGAGGATCGTGGTTCCATTCACTTGGACCCAAAGAAGGTCTCGGTGACGAGCTGGGAGGAGCTGTTCAGCGTGGATCTTCCTGTCTATCCGCACGTAGGTCAGTACTCGTGGCCGTGTTAGATTATTATTCCAGCTGTCGACGGGGCTGAAACAGAGGAAGCCTGGGTGATGCTGTGTTCTGCAGAGGTCTTTATGTGCATTATAAGATGTGTTTGGTTCCTGTATTAGTACTATATTGTAGCCTTCCTGGAATGCAAGTTGAAGGGCGGCGCTGTGTGCTTCCTCGCCTTTGTCCACGTTTGCTTGGAATATTTTCAACGTAGTCTTTGGGGGAGTCCTATTTCGTGCGGCTTTCATTTACGCCCGCGTGTGGTAATGCGTCGTATTTTGCTCGGTGACTGGTCTCGCCCTCTGGCAGCGAGTGGGGGGCTGCTAGGGGGTGAGTGCGTGGCTGAGGTCTGCCTAGGCGGCTAGGGGGTGAGTGCGTGGCTGAAGTCCGCCTAGGCGCACGTACTTCTATGATTTCCCGGGAGGTGGCTTCGCTGGGTGATTCCCGGGCAGTGGCTTCGCTGGGCGGTTCGATGTCATCAGTTCGGGGTTGAGGTCGAAACTGCTTTTTGATGGTGAAGTACGGGTTCTTGGTCGTGCTGGTATTGATCGTAGAATTCTGATTGGTGGCTGTTTGCGATGCACCCTTCCCGGTGATATAGAAGTGGTGTTTGGGAATGACGCGAGGATCGTGTTTTGTGTTGGCTCCTGTTGGGTACGACTGTGCTGGTGGAGGTAGTGCTTCCTCAATATCTTCTTCTTCTGCTTCCTCCTCCTCTTCTTCTTCGTCTTCCTCTGCTTCCTCCTCCCCTGCTGCTTCTTCTTCTGTTTCTTCATCGTCCTTTTCTTTTTCCTTCTCTCCTTGGGTATCTACTCCTCTACCTTCGTGGTCTACAATATTGACTGAATTTGTTTCTGGGGCCTGGATTGTCTGGGTTGGCTCTGTGCCGCTCATCTCGGCATCCTGTAGAGGGTAGGCGTCTTCCTCGCCCTGTTCCACAGCTGGTGGGAGTTGGTAACTGTCAGCTTGCTGTGTACTGTTCTTTCGTTTGAAGTCTTCCTGTCCTAGTCGCCTGGCGTAGATAAGCTGAGTCTTTGAGAGTTTCTGGAAGCTCCCGCGGAGCTTCTGTGGGCGAGCGAAGCAGTTCTCGTAGTTGGCTTCATGTGCGCCATGACAGTTTGCGCATTTTGTCGTATTATCACAGCTGTCTGCGTTGTGCATGTCATCTTTGACGCCACAGCGCACACAGACTTTTGTAACTATGCAGCGAGTTGGCGGGTGAAAGTTCCAGCAGTGTGTGCACTGGGACAGTTTCTTTGGTTTGGTAAGTTTAAAGGAGTAGCTTCCCTGTCCGAGTAGCCGGAAGTTGCTGTTCAGCGGTTTAAGGAATGAGATGACTAGTGTTGCTTTGGTCGGATCCTCATTATTAGGCTTTTGTGAGACATGCCATCGTTCTGGTTTTTGCCCTGTTTGGGCTTCGATCTCTTCTTCAATCGTTTCCTTGAAGTCCAGAAGGGTGCCGTCCCAAGAGTGGAGAGTCTTGGGGAAGTCCTTGATCAGGTAGGTGTGCCATGGGATTTGTTTCTCTGCAATATCTAGGTCGATGCATGGGCCCCATTCGTTCTGCTTCTCAAAAATAAGCTGCTGAATTTTCTCGTTCCGGGCCACAATTGCCCAGCCTGTGTTTGTTGGCTTAATGTCTTGGATGTCCTGGGATGCAATAGCAAGCTTGTCCTTTAGTGCGAGGCGAATTTGTAGGCCCTTCTCGAAGAACGAGGAGCCACTCTTCAAGCGGAGAAGGACCCTGCGATCGGTGCGGTCCGCAATAGTTGTGTTTTGGCGGCGGTGGGGATGCACGTGCACATCCCCGGGTGTCTGGCGTGAGGCATTTTTCGCGATGTTGGCGAAGCTCACTGACTTGTCGGTTCTGGTGTTTTCTCTAGCGGCCGGCGCTGGCGGCGTAGGTTTGTTTGTCCCTGTGAGTGAGCTTGGAGCGTGCGTATCCTTATTTCCTGGTATGAGCGGTTCTTCTGCGCGTACAAACTGGTTCCAGTGTCGCAGGAGGGTGCTCTGGAACTCATTGGCAATGTGTAGTCCGTAACCTGTGGTGAATTTTCGCGTGCAGGCTGTTATTGCATCTGCGTAGGTTCTGAGGACCTTCGCGCGTATGTCAAGTCTCTCCTTCTGTGTCTTGATGATTTCTTCTGTCTCAGCTTCCAGGTCAAAAATTGGGGTAGGCGTTGCTGTGGCGTCATCCTCTTCTGCAAGGGCTGCAAACCTGTTGGTTGAGCTATTTTGGGTGCCGGTGTCCGGGCGTCTATTGCGGCGATGTCCTCTGTCCCTGTCGTATGCTGTAAGACTGCGGGATGGGCTGCTGCAGTGTTGAAATGGCTGCAGGGTTACCGGAGGGCCTGTTTTCAGGAGCTGTTGGCGAGCTCTGAAGTTGAAGCTATCCAGGTACTGCTGGTCAAGCTGCGCCCCAGCGCCACGCTCTGGCGTGGCTGGTTGGGAGATAACCATAGCCACGACAGCGCAGCAGCGCTCGGGATGTTTTTGCAAGTTTTACTTAATGCGAAAGTGTTTATTCTCTACGTCGCCGTCTGTCTACAAGGTAGGTACCCCTGTAGATGTAGGAGGAGAGTTGCATGTGAAAATGGATGTAATGGATGTA